TACTCAAAGCAGAACTCAAAGTTCTGAAGATCTCCAGAGATACAGATTCTAGAACCTGTACAGATTCTACAGCCTTTCTTAGTAAATTAGTTCAGTGCTTAAACACCCTATTGTGACTTTTTTTGCACCCTTATATTCAGTTGGAATTTCCTTCCCTGCAAATTAAGGGAGAACTTAGATTCTGCTTCAGCTTTGTTCAGAGGAATATGCCTGTAATACACAGCACTAATCACAGGAATAGCACAAATTCCGATAACTGGTTTTTGGCTGTTTGACTCTTTGTTTCCAAACTCTTATTTAGAGTTAGGCATCTCCCTTCACAGGATAATGAGTTGTGAATGGGAGCAGTTTCTTTGTTGCTAAATTTACTGATGACATCAGTTCGGAATGATGTGTGTGTGTAGCATGACTTTATTGGCTTTCTGCATTACAGAACAGTAATTCATAATGTTCCTGGCAGTGAGGCTTTCTGACTCCCCTCTGTTAACCCACAGATTCTTGCTCATTTTCTGTCTCCAGGGAAGGGGAAGACTAGAGTGATTTTTGAAAACTTCTCACTGTCCCTACAAATACCCTGCATTCTCTCCCCCATAGAAGAGAAAATATCTTATAGTTTATATCTCAGTGTATATTCCTTTAACTAATCTAGTTTTCTAGTAAAAGTAACAAATGAATTGGTAGTTCTAAGAGTTTAGGAAAGAGCAGAAGAAACTTGCACCAAAATCTCTTTTCTTCGTGACATCATTTCTCAGAAGAACAAGTATCAATTATTAACTTGTTGTTTTGCTTCCTGGGTGGGTGGGAGGGACACACTAAAAATTAATTTGCATGCCTCTCAAAAAAGAGATCATGCACCCTATTTTAAAACAATACCAGTTTGCACATAGCAAGCAACTTTGGCCAATAAGAATAATAATACCTGTATTTTTCCTGACTTTCCTTGGAAGTAAAACAATGGTATGAGTTGATAGGGGATGAGGGGGTTTCTTTGGCAGATCTGCTTATATAGTAATATGAAATCAAAATTACAGTGAATTTCATAAAACCAAAATTTGTTTGCATTCGAAAGAGATTAGTTGTTGGTAAATATTTAGTGGAAGATTGTCTTGTACCTGAGGCAAGTGAAAATTCCAGAGTGTTAGTAGTAGTCATAAGTTGTCTTTTACTGCTTTTTCTCAGAGCTTAACTTTATTTTTTAAACTGTTTGGTATTAGGAGAGGAAAAGATGCAGATATCGGAGAAAATCCAGATAATATAAGATAGCTGTTTACCGTTGTGTGGCTTTATCTCAACAGCCTGTTTCATTGCATGTTTTAAGACATGGTGGTACTATAATGTTTTCAGCTGATTGCAAACAGCTGTACAAATCCAGTTTGAGTGACACTTTGTAACCTGTGCAGGGTCAGGCTTAGTCAGGAGTTAGAAGAAACCAGTGTGTGAAGTATAGGTACTATAGAAGTAAAATTAGGGATAATTTATTGTATTTTACAAAACTTTTTTTTGTCACCTTTGACCTAACACCATTTTATTATGATTAAGGAGCAATCACTGTTAAGTACCATTTTTTTTCAGTTCGGTTTGATCTGAATTCCTGCTTGGCTGTAAACACTAACAGTTATATA